CACATATACAGACCACATGCAATTTTATATCCATGACACTATATATATATATATATATATATATATACATAAAAAAAATACCTAGCTAAACTTACGCATGCAATTACACATACACATACATACATATTCATACACACACATATGTATATATATATATATATATATATATATATATATATATATATATACATATATATATACATATATATGTATATAAATAAAAAAAGAACAGTAACTTTTAAACCATATCTTAAATCAATTAATTTATAATATATACATATATATATACATATATATACACATATACACATGGGCCTACAATCTATACATACACATATATGCATATATACACGCTTATCCAAAATGCCCATACATACATACATACATAAAATCACATATCAATATATATATACACCGGGTGTAACAGCAACGTTTTCAAATTGTGTAACAGCAAAATTGTCCAATTGTTATATTAAACTTTGAACGGTTGCATCTTAGAAATGATTAAAGATATCTTACTGGAATTCTCGGAGGTTTTTATAATACTATTGGACTCTATTTTTAACGATAAGAATGTATTTAGCTTTAAGTTGAATAATCCTTCATCCTGTTGTGACCTGCTGATCCAGTTTTCCTCTAGAGTTCCTTCCTTTTTTTTTAAACATATTCACCGTTCTCTTAATTGTTCTTAAAAGGACTTTAAAGATGAAAGCCAGAGTATAAATGTTGGTACCATTACTGAAGGCCTGAATGATGTTTTTTTCTCGCACTATTGTTCATTTGGGAAGACAGTAGGGCTTACACAAAACGATTTTAACCTGCTCTCTTTTTAGATGAATATCTCGCAGGATTTTTCAGTTATTCTTACGACAAATGGTGTCTAGATGGCTAAATGTCTTATCTAAAAACCTTGAAAAAAGAAACTCAGCTAGTTTAGTAGCTTTTTAGATATTAAACAGAGTCGAGTACATATATATATAGGTAACTCCACGAAATCGCTAAAAAAATAGCATAGCATGATGAAAATGACGCCAAACTTGACGAAAACAAAATTTTATCGTCTAAATGTTAATGTTATTATAAAGAGGAAAGACGAAAGTTTTTTTTAATTATTTTTTAAAATTTTTCTTTCTTCTTAGAACATTCTAAATTTTGATTTAAAAAAAAAAAACTTTTTTCTCTTTGTATCACCGGAACTAGTAAAATAACATAGACAATTTTTAGCACGTTTTTTTTTGTTGTTTTTTTTTTTTTTTTTTTTTGTATGACACACATTAATTTGGAAAATCTTGCAAAAATAAAAAAATTGGCGTATGTTAATGAAGCAAAACCTATTCACAGATGATCGAAATTATTATAAATAAGTTTTTTTTTTTTTTTATTAAAGTCATGGCAGAAATACTTTTTTATATTTATTAATCCCTCCATAACTAATTTAATGAAAACGCTAGAAATTCGATTGAGTCTAGTTTAATGATTACAATAGTTAAAAGCACAAGGCTTTGAGGAATGCAAATCATGTGTTCATGTGTCCTTGAGGACATTTGTGTATGAATTTCTGGGTATTATAAACCTACAAGGACACATGGCACAGTGGATAAAGGCGTTAGCTAGGTCCAGTGACAAGACCCAAATAGTGTGAGTTCAATACCCGGTTAAGGCAGTAGAGAACTTGGCGAGTGGAATTAACAGGAGATAACTGACATCCATGGAACTAGAACAGTCTACCCCAGTGAGTGAAATAAAGGGTTCAGTTCGACATTCCAACCACCTGAAGAAGTCCGGAGCGTACAACGGCTGAAACGTTGTAATAAATATGGCGACAAAGATGAGGACAATAGTCCGAATAATGTAAATAATGTATTTAAACTTTCAGTAGCAAAAATTTTACAGGTTGGACCCGGCTTTGATGCTTTCAAAAACCAACATTATTTGAACCGAAAATGAGCACGGTTTGATTCGAGTGTGACTCACGATTTTTTAACCAGTGGGGATAGAATGTATAGGTCCCCTAAGGAATTGATTTACGAGTCACTTTTGATCTGCATGTTTGCTACATAAAATGGAAAACTTTGACTGCAAAGGCAGAAAAGGATAGAACACACTCCGAATTTAATCTCTAATGTGAATGCATCTGCGATAGAAAGACACCTGTATTAATTAAACATTTTAATTTATATTTAAACACACGCTTTAACTCGATTCCATTGACATTCAGTAGGTTCACTTTTCAACGAGGATGAAGTGATGCCATTCAAATTGTAAAACCTGTTGACAGAAAGAGCACCAGTTATTGGCTTTTAAAGGCCTTATGAAAAGGTATCTGCGTTCAGACATTACTCTTATTAATTAAACATTATTTTTTAAACATTTTCCTTAATTTGATTCCAAAGCCATTAAGTTGGTTCCGTCTTTAGCATAGCTGAAGAGAATTCTTTGTTAATTTTCGATATACAGTCTTAGAACAATCCAAAAGTTTACGGATGTCGATAGAAAGATCGTCATCTAGCGCTGTAAAATTCAGCGCCAGATGTACCGAGGGATTTCAAATATGTCAGATAAGGTAAAAAACAGTTTCGTTTTTGTTTTTTGTTTTTAAGAGAAAGGAACAACTCTAATCCATTGCACTAATTCATTGGCTTGTGGGCGACTTCACCACATTAATTTAACTTTGATAAGAAAACAGGACTCACGCAAGAAGAATAACCACAGGACATTGTTGTACATAAAATATATGTATATTAACAAAATGTACAATATCAAACAACGATGTAAAAGAAAACATGCATTTAAGTAACAAAGGTTGAATTAATCAAGAGTTGCCTCCCTTTGTCTGAAATTTAAGAGTTCAATGTGAGATAATTATTTGGTTTAAAGTTCACTGGATAAATATCCATGAGTGTTTCATGATATGATTGTTCTTGTGATATTATTGTTGAAAAGTATTGTTGTGTCAAAAGAAGTTTTTAGTGAAGGTGTGAAAATTATCATTAGCATGTGGGTGTGCGTGTGAGTGCGAAGGCTGGCGCGTGGTTAGAACTGGAGTTCCAACTGTCGTAGATTCGGTTAGCAGTTGAGGTCTCACTAATTGAGATGAGAAAAATCTTGGTTTAAATAAGCGAGTATAGGCTCCGATTCGTTGCGCGGGAAAAATTATTCTTCATGTGCAAACGATCTGATTGGTTGGCATCAATCAATCAGCGAGCGAGCTTTGGGGAGACCTAAGGAAGCTTCTGTGATCCACTTCTCCCAAAAGTGCACAAATTTGACTACTTTAAAAATAAAGAAATTCCAAAATTGTCGCATTACTGCGATTTGTAAATTGCCTGTAGAAAATGTATTAGTGATTTATTAGCCAATGATCGTTTGGCATTGTACATGTGATTTTGTGTTTGTATGTATATGTTCGTGCGTAATTAGGTTCACACAGGCTCAACCCAGTTAATTTGTCTGTTCTTTAATCTTCTCGGCTTCTCTGCGAAAACAACTTGAAAGAAACATGCAATATACGTTGCATTCTCTTTAGCTAGGTAACGCTAAAAAAGTGAATGTTTACGCATTAGCTTTATGTTATAGAATATCAATATCTGGGATTGCAGTCATGAAAACCTAAGGAATTATTAGCTTTATGGGAACATATCTGCGATCAAACATTAGTCTTATTAATTAAACACTATTTTTAAACACTTGCGTTAACTTGATTCCAAAGTCATTAATTAGGTCCAGGCTTTAACGTGACTAAATTTAATATCTTGTTAATTTTCAATATGGTATTAGAAGGTTCATGCAATCGATAGAAGGTTCGCCATCTAGTGCCGGAACTTCGAAGTTCAGCGCGAGATATACAGAGTGATTCCGATTATGGTTGATCTTTTGTATAGAACATCACCAGGGTAAGGACACCGACGGCCCGTCACATTGAGCCTTGACCCATCAAAAGACAGATGAACAATGTCCCAAAGGAACTTAAGTTTTAACGTCCAACTCAGTAAGAGGGGGGTCAAAACTGATTCGAACGTTTCGCGTTTTTATCGTCGAAAAACGCCGGGGGGGGTGACATACCAAAGGCGTGGTTAGCCTCTTGGATCATTCACCATAATTGCCCCCCCACTCCAGCCCGATCAACCCCCATTTTTTTTTTTTTGGGGGGGGGGCAGGGTGTAGGGGCACATCTTTATTATTGACTTCTTTAATGTTTAACAGGCACAAGACGAGGTACGGGGGAGTAATGGATTGCGGCTCGGATTGAGGAATCGGAGAGCCGAGTTCGAATTCTAGACGGATCCATCACATTCACTTACGTTCTAATACCCTTGGGAAAGGCATGAATCCAACTCTTATGGCCTGAAGAGGCACGGTGGAGTAATGGATAGCGGCTCGGATTGAGGAATCGGAGAGCCGAGTTCGAATTCTAGTCGGATCCATCACATTCACTTACGTTCTAATACCCTTGGGAAAGGCATGAATCCAACTCTTATGGCCTGAAGACGCACGGTGGAGTAATGGATTGCGACCCGGATTGAGGAATCGGAGAGTCGCGTTCGAATTCTAGTCGGATCCATCACATTCACTTAGGTTCTAATACCCTTGGGAAAGGTATGAATCCTCTTCTTCTCAAAAAGCTATGTGTAAATAGAAGGACAGATTGGGTTCTATAACTTTGTATGGCAACTGATCTAGGAGAAGGAAATACTTTGAATTCAAAACCGGCCCGAAGAGAGTTGGGCTTCGTCAAGCTATCTTGCCTAAGAAACACCACTTCTACTTCAGCTGCAGCACACATTGGTGCCTCGACGAGCCTATGGGTCACGGGATAAAAAATGTTTAACAAGAATTTCAAATCTTTTATCATTCGAGACAATAAAAATATTATTATTATTATTACTGGAACATTATTATCATTATTATTGTAAAAAAAAGAAAAAGGCAAAAACCCTAAAGAATATACTAAAGGTTTAAATCTATTGAAACTTACTTTTTAGTACGATAAAATGTTGCCA